TAGTAGAACATTACTGGACAATGTTGATGTGACTGTATTCAGTGTATCGAACGAAGATTCCAACACTTCGGAATTCAAGAAGCATTGCCATAGTCTACAAGTATCCTACTTCTAGCACTATGTTTATCTATCTATCGACTATCAGGTAGACATTACCTCCACCTGACGACTCGGAACGATGCCGTGAAGGGTGGACAACAGTAGGCCAAACCAAGTTTGGTTAGTCCAACTTCTGGAAGCTCGTGATGCTTTAGGTTTTGAAACCCGCAGAGGAAACACCGAATACAGAATTAGCACGGTATGAATCTGCTTGGAGAAATATTCTCTAATGGCCAGGGAACTTTTGTCACCCAAGGGGGGTTCAGAGACGTACACAACTCCACGGTCCCCAAGCCTCCAGGTCGGCTAGCGACAGCCATCGGGACTATTAGCGGTTCCTCAACGTGCTATTTGTCAAATTCCCCATGGTCCTCCCGAAGGAGGGTTGGACGACGTTACATTTACTCACTCTAAGCAGGCAACCGAGCTGTCTACTCAGTCTCAGCAAGAAAGATGCTGCGGACTCGAGGAAGCCTCGTGGCTCTTTGTATGTACAGACCCAATATGCATGAGGTTGGGATGACTCTTTCAGCGTGGCATGAATGGTTGGTCCCCTGCAAGGGATTTATTTGTTGAAGCGCTGAACTGAATTCCTCTCCTTTGTCTTGAATCTAAGCGTAAGAATGATATTGAGAAACGGGTAAACACCGGAATTGAGGCGATGTGGCCTGTTCTCGAGTTGGCACGTACCGTACCATACATACATTACCTACACAGGTGCTTCGTCTGAGGACTCTAGAAGTCCGTACTAATACTCCTAGTACTCATTGTTAATACCGGCCTGTACGGTAATATTTCTCCGCTTTCTTTCAGTGGGCGTCATCTGCAGCGTAATGTGAATACCACCAATTACATGCATGCATGGAGGCAGTGAAGCAGCAATGGACATGAATCGCTAAACATTATTCGTGCACACGAGAATCCGCCGTCAAACTTTTGTCTAGACGTCCATCGACAGGGATTGAATGGGGATTGGTTGAAGATCTCTCCCCGCGCAGAGCAATTTGCCCCTGGTGATGGAGGTAATATGTAGTAATTGATACTATCTCCATTCTCCGGTTTTATGACCAATTGTTTCTGGAAACTCTTAGCTCCGTTCGCTAGCTGGATAAGAATCCTTTGCTGACCCCAATTGGGTCATTAGTGTCGGTGCGGACGGTTGAATTATGCTCCCAATGAAAGGAGAAGGGGAGGAGAAAAGAGTATTTCTTAGAAACAGACAGATAGAGGAGACAACCCAAACACCACCCTTGTCAAAACGCCACCAACATGATCAAGATGTACCATGACCAAGTAAATCAGCACTGGATGGTTGCTCCTATCAGACTCGGTGGAAGTGGAGAAAAACAGATGGAGGTGCGGGTGTTGGCGCGCAGACCATTGAACTAATATTCGCCAGTAGGTAATTAAATTCACTGCCGGATGACCGCTAGTAAGAAAGGTCACCCCTTCATCTCAAGCGTGTCCTCTTCTACCACTCGTCCTCCTTCACCTCCTCCTTTCCCCTTCACCCTCCCCTATATCTTTCTCTTTTCCCTCACCCCCCTCCATTTTCGTCCGACCGCAATTCGTCCCGCCCCATTGTCAATTCCTCCTCCACGGTTTGGTTGAGGTTGCTAGGCGGTTCGATGTTCCTTGGTTGATTCCCGCTTTTTTCGCCTCCCAACGCCCTCGAAGCGCACTCGACATCGTAGCTCAACCCCGGCCTCGGTCTGGCTATCCACAAAGAGCTGAAGCACCTCGAGATCATTCAAATAGCCTTCCAAAGAAGTGCCTGACTTGCTGCAGACAAGAGCTACAGCAATTCATCAACCAGCATCCGCGCTGCGACGCAATCTGGCCTTTGGGAGAAAGTTGACATTTGGCTTTCCCCTTGTATTCCAACCACCCATTGTGTCGTCATTCCCCAGCCTAATGATTTGAAGCTGAATTAACGACCCGCGAGAGATCGCTTGCTACTTGTTTCCACTTTCCCCCCTTACCTTTTCTTTTCCCGCCCCTTTTGCAGCTATCCGCATCGGATTCTTGCAATCACATTTTGCGCCCAGTTCCATTACGCGCGTGGACTTCTGTCGCAAAGACGAATCTTGATTATCATTTGGAACGTATCTTGTTTGACTCTCTGATCACGATTTTGCTACGTTTTCTCAAGAATACATATTGATCGTATGCTTAGCCCCGCAAGAGTTATCAAGTCACCATTGATCATTGACTAACGCAAAGTGGATATAGTTTTGACGATGATGAATCCTTACCTCAGTTGGGCTATTCTGCTCGTGGTAGCAGGTGGCCTGGGCTGGTACTACAATGGTCCTGTCCCCAAAACTAAAGCCCCCATAAAACCTATCGTGGAGAAGGCCGAGAACGCGGTGGGCGCGAAGAAACCCAAGAAGAAGACGAAGAAGTCTCCGGAACCGTCTCCTGCCCCCGCTAAGGCAGAGGAAAAGCCAGTGCAGACTCCCAAGATCGAGGAGGCTGATGTGGCGGATGAGGAAATCGACAAGAAAGAGATGGCCAAGCGCTTTGCCGCTGTGAAGAACGGTGCTCCCCTTAAGGAAAGCAACAAGGACAAGGCTCAAAAGAAGAAGAACAAGAAGGGAACGTCCAGTCAGCCCGCCGCTAGCAACAACGAGCGATCTGCCTCCCGCGTCTCTACTCGTACCTCATCCACTACCGGAGCCGAGGCCGATGATGACCTCTCTCCAGCTGGATCCCCTAAGGTTAATGCCAGTGCGTCTGCTGCTGGATACGTTTCTGACATGCTTGAGGCTCCTGCCCCAGCAGCGTCAGTTCTCCGTGTGACGGGCTCTTTGGAATCGGATTCCCAGAAGAAGAAGCAGAAGCCTCAATCCTTCAAGCAGGTTGAAACCAAGAAGCAACGCCAACAGCGCCTGAAGAACGAAGCCCGGAAGCAGCAGGTCCAGGAAGCTGAGGAGGAGAGACGTAAATTGCTGGAGAAGCAGCTCCACACCGCTCGCGAATCTGAGCGCCGTGAAGCTGCCAAGTCCAAGCCAGCTGCTCAACCTAATGCCTGGCAGACTCAGAGCGCGAACAAGGTTACCAATGGCAATGTTACCAATGGCACTCACAAGACTGCTCCGGCCCCTAAGGTTGAACTGTTAGACACATTCGAACCTGAAAACTCGTCCGCTGCTGCATCCTCCAAGGAATGGGATCAGGGTCTCCCATCTGAAGAGGAGCAGATGCGCATTCTCGGCGCAGGGAACGGTGAGGACCAGTGGACCACCGTGGCTAGCAAGAAGATCAAGAAGAAGGGCGTCAAAGCCGATGACAGCGAAGTCAGCGCTGTTGAAGACCAGCCTACCCCGGTCGCACCTGCACCTGCACCTGTTGAGCCCAAGGTGAAGATCACTCCTACCTACCTTCCTGATGTCCTCCGCTCCGGAAAGAAGGGACATCCTCTCGACTCCGATTGGGCTGCTTGAGCAGCCTTGGAGCTTCTTAAAGAACTGAAAAGGTACATGGTTTAGGTGTATCTTTCGGGAATTTTTTTTCTCATGGAAATCTTTTCGATTTCACTGTATGTATTATTCATGGCTTCGGCGTTCGGGGTCTTTTATCACACTAAAAATGCACCACGCAGCCGGCGAGGTGTGATTTCTTCTGCGATGTCAGCACAGGGAACATCAGCCTCAACCACCCAAAACCAAGAAAAAACCCCTAAAAAATAGAGCCGTGTAATATTTTATTTTTATTTTTTCTCCTTCTCTTATTTGTGTACTGCTCGGATTTTCGAATTCTTGTTTTGTTTTATAACACATTTTGTTATCTGATCGATAATTATGGACGAAAAGACGTTTGATCTATGACCGGATCTCGGGTTTGCGCAACAATACCAAGCTTATTACTTATTATATCCTTTCCCGATTGCTTTGTTTGTGGACTTAGACCTTCATTCCTTTGCTTGGTCCAATGCCCCTGCGTTGAGGGCCCGGCATTTTGCATGGAATATGACAGTGGAGGCCTTGATGGGGGAGCATGGATCAAGATCCGCAAGGGTTTGTCCCCGCAAAAGCCACCTGGCCTTTTCTTTGTGCCGGGGTGGTCTGGGTTCGTTGCGTTTACTATTTCCTGATTTACTTTGAGTGCGGTGTTTATTGTTCCCTGGATCTGGGATTTAATGCGTTCTCCGCTTTTTTTTTTTTTCTTTTTTTTTTGTGCTGGATATATTTGTTTTGGATCCATCGTAGTTCTTAATCCGGCAAAGAATGGGCCAATTTGGGAATGACGATCATATAGTCCGTGATGTGCAGTGGGGATCCGTGTGGTATCTCTCATGTACTGTATGTTCGTACTCGGTACTTACTTTGTAGTCGGGTAGTCGGGGGTAGAACGAACGATCTGCCATGGGAAGTAGCCTACAACGAAACGAAAGGCTGACTCTGAGTACTCAAAGTTGCGACGGGTTTTAAAAATAGAATGGTTGTTCTTGAAGAGAGACTATAATTGCAGGAGGCAGTGTGGGATCTTCTTGTTCTGCATATGTCGTCAGAGAACCCCTTGAGATGGCTTGGCAACCATGCCTCAACGGGACTAGCAGCGAGTTCCGGTCATCGTGGCCTGAACTGCAGGGCCGCCGTGAAAGTCACGGGCAACGAACCAACGGATGCAACTTGTTGTTTTGTCCTCTTCTCTTTCGCATCATTCGTTCTTTCGGTCTTCTCTGCTATTTACTCTTCCTTTCCCTCCCTTCTTCTCGTCCTCTTCTTTCGTGGGAATTTCGTCTATTCTGATTGTCACTTATTTTCATCCTCTAACACATCCTTTCCTTATTTCTTATTTACCAACCCCTCGTGGCTAGCTCCCGAGGTTCCTATTCTCGGTACCTCTCTCATACTCCTACTTGGTCGAACTTCTCCCATTAAACAACAATTTCCGCTATGGCGCAAATCCGCGGCACCGCGGGATACAATCTCGGTCACCAAAATCCCTTCGGCGGACCTGGTCGCGCAGAGGCTACAAGTGACCCTAGCCCCTTGGATGCCATTCGGGAACAGACTAGCAAGATTGAAGATTGGTTGGACACGTTGGCAGATCCCGTCAAACCGTATGTGGTCTCTTCGAGCGTTTGCCCTTTCAATTCATTCCGTTGTTTTCCCAGCGAACTACAAGGGAAATACAAGCAACTACCAGAATAATAGTTTGGACTCGCACCGCTAACACGGTGTCTTCGGTCTACAGGTATCTACCAGCCATTGGCCGTTTCCTGATCGTTGTCACTTTCATTGAGGACAGTTTGCGAATCATTACACAATGGAGCGACCAGCTCCTCTACCTGCGGGAATACCGTAAAAGTAAGCTTGCTCTTGCCACTCACAGCAACGGTGATCATTGCTGCACAGTGAGCCCTAGTGCCTCCGGGTTAACCATCTTCAGTTCCGTGGGGCATCACACACACCTTCCTCATTTTCAATGTACTCGCTATGTCGATATGCTCATTCCTGGTTATTGCTCGTAAACACACTGAAATCGCTGTCGCCGGTCTGTTGGGTGTCGTCGTCACCCAGGGCCTTGGATATGGACTCATCTTCGACCTCAACTTCTTCCTCCGTAACCTGAGTGTTATCGGCGGTCTCCTCATGGTTCTCTCCGACTCATGGGTCCGCAAGAAGTTTGTTCCGGCTGGTTTGCCCCAGCTTGATGAGAAGGACCGCAAGATGTACGTTCAGTTCGCTGGTCGTGTCCTGCTCATCTTCCTCTTCGTCGGATTCGTCTTCTCCGGCCAGTGGAGCTTCTGGCGCATTCTGGTCAGCTTGTTCGGCCTCGTCGCATGCGTTATGGTCATTGTGGGATTCAAGGCCAAGTGGAGCGCAATCATCCTGGTGGTGTTGCTGAGCGTCTTCAACATTTTGGTCAACAACTTCTGGACCGTATGTATACCTTTATTGATATGAGTATATCTAATCACTAATGGCTTCTTAGCTCCACCCCCACCACCCCCACAAGGATTTCGCCAAGTACGATTTCTTCCAGATCCTGTCTATTGTGTAAGTTGCACTTATCCCTGTCTCGCCTTAATGTGAACCGCAGTCACTAACCGTTTCCTCTAGCGGTGGTCTCTTGCTTCTGGTCAACATGGGCCCCGGCCAATTGAGTATGGACGAGAAGAAGAAGGTCTACTAAACCGGGCTCAACCGAACGCGGAAAATGGGGAGCGAGAAAGGCAGAAAGACAGAAAAAACAAAAATGAAATCCAAATGGGCCACTGAGTGGATGCGCATGTGTGCTACGTACTCATGACATGTTTCTTATGGGCTACCGAAAGCATCTCTATCTCTATCATTATATGATCCTTTTTTTTCACGTTCATCTTCTCAGCATTGTTCCGGAATCTGTTTCCCCACATATAGTTCAATCATTGTGTACTGGCTATAAGCTCGTGATATATTGGCTACAACCCATCATTTGCTCACTCACAATATACCTCAAATCATGCGCGTTTTTCCTTTTTTCCAGACCGCATGACGTAACCAGGTCTTTTCATTCTAGGAGGTCTATGGAGATTTCGGAGTACTCAGTATAGACCCATTCCAATTCATCTACTATCAAGATACAGCTCAACATTGAAAGATTCATGATTTATACCATATCATTATAATGACCAACAAACACCCAGGAAGATAAAAATTAAATCGTTACAACGCAGGCAATCGCGAAAAACATGTATTAAATGATATTAAAAGATATTATACATGGAACATGAGGATGGGGCTTCAGGACAAATGCATAGTTGAGAACAAAGGTCAAAGAACAATTCAGACAACGGAGAAAGAAAATGCGTTTGAAACTAGAGAAGGTAATCTGCGCTGGGAATGAACGGATGGATGGAATTTTGCAGGGATGGTATGTATGTATAGGTACTGTATGTTATGGAGACAACGGATAAAACAACAGTCACAGAAAGTCTTTAGTAATCTTGTTCGTTTCTGGTGGTCCTGCCATGCACATAACAACGGGACTTCTTCGGGGTAACTGGTTTGCTCCAATGCATAGAGAATCGATAGGATGATAAAGAACGGAACGATCGCTTTTGTCTGCTGTTAACGCCGAGAAAAACCAGGTATCAAGGTGTATCGGAGTGTCTGAGATCAGAATTCGAGGAAGAAACAGAATCGAGGCTAGAAAGTTGCTTTGAGGAATCGAATACTACCGCTATATGTCCATGCTCCAGCGCCACGGCCGTATCTGTTCCAGATCACCGAATCCGACTTCCTCATGGGGGTCGGAAATCTCCAAATGCAATAATTCAACTTTCTTGTCCTCCCGATGCAGGTTAGATAATGTCTTCGACACATGCGGTCGGAACAGTTTGCTACCGTCATCGGCTTCCTTGGACATCGGTCGGGATATCGGTGTCTGCGGGGACTGTATCGAAACCCTTGGGGATTCTATGTCATCGGAGTCAATCGAAGCTAACGAAGACGAATCTGACCGTGACCGTAGAGACGACGCTATGACCAAATTAGACTCATCACGCCCGTACGTAAAGGGGGAGGGTGATCTGTATTCGCGGCTATCCTTGGGTTCAGGCGTCTTCAGAGGTCGAGGATCATCGTCGTCATCGTCATCATCATCGTCAAGGTGGGCGAACGGAGGACGAACTCTGGCGGGTTTCTTTTCCACATTCTGGGTAGATAAGGGAGGTAGTGGGGTTCGATCGGAGGTCTTGTTGGTACTCTTTTCGCGGGTTAAGGAGGGGTCGCTGGTACTACTCTTCTGGGTAGGGAAACGATCTTTTCCGGCCATTACCCTAGCGCTAGGTACAGGTTGCAGCATCCATCGCGTCTCGGCCCTAGACTTGGGTCCACTGACGATAGGCGGATGGAGATCGTTGACTGGAGGCACCCGTGCGATATAGTATTTGCTGGGTTCGTGGGCATTCGCTTTCCCGCTACCTGATAATCCAACCGACGAGCCCTTCACCTCCACTTCTTCACCCCATAACGGCTCGTCTTCGCGCTGATATCGCATGCGGTTCCACCGTTCCTCAATCGGTTGCATCAGACTACTCTTGTCCTTCTTTTGTGACGCACGTACATCCTGACAGGAGGTTGCGGAGATTCCATCCGTGTTCCAACTATCCGTGCGACGATGCGCAGACCGGTTGCCACCTCTTCTTGCTGGGGGGCCGGGGCCTAACGCAATTTCCTCCGCCCATCCGGCATTGGTGCTGAAGGCGGTTGGTTGGGGGAACGGCCGAGGTTGGTCGGCGATGATCTCTTCGTTCTTCTCCTTTTCGCGACGGGATCGAGCGGCTTCGGCTTCCTTCATGCGTTTTCGACGATCGACTTTCTCGGCACATGGTGTACAGGTGGCATAGTAGAAGACTGCCGACTGAGCGCCTCGCCACAGCCACATGGTTGAGCTGGGGAGGTTGGAGGGAGGTTGGGAGCGGTGAGGAAGATTCGCAGGTCAACTGATAGCGACACTGGCCAAAAACGTATGGCACTCACGAGAACAGAGAGGCCCGAGGGCACCGGTAAATATGTCTCGATGTTTGTCGTGTCGCTGACAGCAACATGAAGGGCGTCTAGTTTGATAGCGGGTGGGACGGGGGAGACAGTTTAAAACGGAGATCGCCCAGCGACCTACAACGTTGGAGAAAGAACTTGAAGTAATACCAACGTAACGGGCAAATCCAAAAGTATACGTGGGACAGCGACACGAAAACAATTGGAGGAATAGAACAAAGGACGACGACAAAAAAATAGAATAAAAGAACAACAGCAATAACAACAGACTAGACAATGAGGAAGAGCGATAGAGAGAGAGAGAGAGAGAAGTAGAAAGGAGGAGTAAGAGAGAGAGAGAGAGAGAGAGAGGTCAGGGAAAGCAGGAGGGCGAGAGATGGTTGGGCGATGTTGCACTTGGCAGGGGCGGGGCGCGCGGCAGAGGAGAAACGGCGCTACCAGATTGTCTGGGAGTTTTCTAGGAGTAGTTAGTTGAACGTCTGTGTCGACGATCTCGCGGAGAGGGTCATTTGTTTACGGTGGTGGCCGTACTCCGTATTCTCTCAGTCCTTATATCCTTCTCCACTCGGGTCGACGTTCGGATTGTGGCGGAGTGGAAAAGAAACCCAAGAAACCCAAGAAAAACGATTGATGCGGATAAGACTTCTCAACCCCTCACTTTTGAGACGCAGGTTAAAAATAATAATAAACAATTGGGCAGCGAAACCAATTGCATACCGCACAATGTGTCCGCAAGCGATTGACGGTTGAAATTCTTGGTGAAACGCAAGGTCCAATCTAGTTGACGCCGGCCAGCGTTAGTGGGAGTTATCAGTGGGAGTTAGTCGTTCGTATCTGGTTGCCTACGCCCGGAACGAAAGACGGTCCAAATTCTCGCCAAGCCTGAAACACGACAACCACGCTCAATCAGTCCATTTTTAACGCAGATTCATGTCATTCATTCATCAGCTAGGAAAGGCCACTGCATTCTCTGCATAGGACATCAGATTGGGTTCCACTCGCCCCCAATCAGCGTGCGGACATTGCAATGCGCATACATAGGTATACAGAGGTATACATTGTTGAGATCCATGATTCATCATCATCCACTCCCTCAGATTCTTGCGGGCGTACTCCGTTGTCGAGGACCGACCATCCTGAAAACAATGTACTTGCTGTCTCCCTTGTTGTGATCCATCCGCCTTCATCTCCTCCCTCTCTCTCTCTCTCTCTCATCCTGCCTCCCTCTCCCTTTTCATCCCCTGCCCCTTTTTCCTCCTGATGTCACCAAGTAAAACCTCAGGAGCCGTAGCGCCAGTATTTTTGACCTAAGATCGCATTTTT